AAGTTAATAAAATACTATGTAGACTATGTACACAAAGTGATAAAGCTATCAAAATGGTCATAAATGGACCACATAATGGTTGTTATGTTAGGCATGTGGCAATTATCTGACTGATAATGTTAAACTATAAAATGGTAAATCCATTATAATAACTTTTTTTTTTACGTGTGTGTCCGTCCCAGTGTCCAGCTGCCATGGCACTAATCTCACAGAGATGCTATCGCTGACATTCCTCGCAGGCCATTCAAACTATTTCACCGAGCCACACAATCACAGCACTTTGTCAACACACACACACACACACACACACACACACACACACACACACACACACACACACACACACACACACACACACACACACACACACACACACACACACACACTGTATTGACTAATTTACTACTGGGTTTGATTCAAGCACTGATTGTTATTCTGAAGTGACACACCACTTTCAAATGTAAAAGCCTTACACGTGAGGTAGTTTGTGTAAAGCATCTCTCTGTCCTTGTGCAGAAGGATCACACCTAAGCCCTCAGGGAATTCACAGGTTGTGTGAACAACATTTTAGAGAGTTGTGAAACCTGCAAGATAAAGATGTGGAAGTGCTTCCAACGAGTCAAACATTGCTGCAAGGAGGCACTCACAGAAAAACTATTCTTCACTGATGACTAATTGCATGCATCTGGTAAAACATGTATTAGAGTTGTGAAAGTAAATTCATTATTGTTTATAAGCATGCACTTCTGCCCATCTGACTATGCAAAGTTACACACCCTCTTCTCTCGTCACACATGTTGAGCTTTCACAACTCAGGTAATTCCTAACTTGCATTGGCGCGCACACACACACACACACACGCACACGCACAGTTGTTTATGTAAGAAGTGATGTGAGGATTGATGAGACAATAATGAGAGATAAAGAGAAGCAAAGAAAGAGAAAGAAAGATCTAGCCCCACAGGCCTCTGGTTTGTTATAGAACAGGGAGTGGCAACAGGAGGTGTGTGTGTGTGTGTGTGTGTGTGTGTGTGTGTGTGTGTGTGTGTGTGTGTGTGTGTGTGTGTGTGTGTGTGGTTAGGGGGCAGGTATTAGGAGTCGTGGTAGCTAAGAAAGGGTAGTCTTCTAGTATTTTTCGTGGAAACAATAGAAGAGAAGTTGGAAATGGGCCCTCAATGGATCATGTGTCTAAAACCTCGCCTATACCAAGCAATCGAGTACCGATTTCTTTCGAGATTTTGTGTATTTGTGACTCATTTCACTGTAGTCTGTAACAGTCCCCCAAAGAGGTCAATGTACCCTTTCGGGAAATGTCCAGGCCTGTTGCGGAGGCACGAATAATTTACCCACATATTTCGTATGACTAAGGGTTCGATGATACACCCTACAGCGACGGATTCTCCGATACGACAACTGTATTACTAAGATGTTTGTGTACGTACGAGAGGAAGACAAGCGTTCTGCATGTAGTGTCGTCGGACAGTCGTGATGAAATGTTACAAATCCGCACATGCATACCTTTACTACGTGTAAATATATAGGGAGCGAAAGGTTGGGTGTGAATACTCCGTATAACATTTCGTGTAATAATCGTAACACATGAGAACACAGTGAGACTGATAAAGCTAGATTCAGTGTAGTCGGAGTGGGCTACAACCGTAGGCCTCCTGCCCGTACTACCCGTTTCTCCTTTAACTTCCCTAATGTAAAGTGTCAGATGCACACACAAAGGTAAGTAAACGACGGATGTAGTCGATATTATGGAATCTTCCCTGGTGTCACACAACGTCGTAGTCGTTTGAGGAGATTCGATACGTAAATCTGTGAGATAAGCTTTGGTAAATTGCCGAGTGATCTCTAAACTAAATAACTAGATAGGGATTGACCGACACCTGAAAAGTCTTCGGTACAAGACATAAAGACAACCGCATGCATCTATCAGCGGTGTTACCTGGTCATTGATGTCTTAACCAAAAAGTAATATTAAATATTATATGCAACTGTCGCGTATTTTGTCCTATTAACCTAATCGTATAATTTACATCCACAATATTCTTTGTAAATCATACAAAACAAAAGTTACATCTAATAATTGAATTAATAAACAAACTTTAGATTCAATACAAGTACTGTTCTGGGAGTAAGTCTTTTATAGACAACAATATCAAATTGTCCTATTAAATTGATTATCCTAGTGACTTTGTCGTGGACATACGGAGGACTCTGAAATAATATTTTGTGTCAGATGTGTGTGTGTGTGTGTGTGTGTGGTGTGTTGTGTGTGTGTGTGTGTGTGTGTGTGTGGTGTTG